TGCATTTTTATTCTGGGGAAACTTACGACCTCCATACAGACAACAGCATCTCAGTGCAGAAATTGAGCTTGGGTTTTGTTTCTTTGTGGAACTGTATTGATAGCATCAAGTTAGATTTCTCTTGCTCCAGTGTGCTACACCATCTCTAGAGCAGCCTAGAAAGTGTGAGGTTATTAAGCTGAATACATTCCCCCTCTTCCAATTTTTCCCTTCTTCTCCTAAAATGACTGAGGTGTAGTTCCATGGGCACAGGGAACCCACTATTGTACTCATATATGAGCCTGGACACTGAGTGTTGGCACATTATTTGATTATGGTGAAGGCATCACAGCCAACATTACTCAATACCCTCATGAACATTGTTCCAGCATGCAGCAATCAGAAACAGTCCCATTACTGATTTTCTCCCCCTCCTTCTCCAGCTCAGGTTAGCAGTCTTGTGACACGTTTGATGCTGCCCCATCTTTAGTTTAGCACAGACTGAAAAGCAAACATAGGACCATTCTGGTTAGTTTCACACTGGGCAGCAACATCTTGAATGATATTTCCTCGAACCCATGCTATGACACCCTGGGTGCCCCCCAATAGATAAAATCAGATGGTTATATTTGGTTCGTTGCTGCAGATTTGAGCTATTAACAATAATAATGATCCTTGCATTTGATATAGAGTCTTATCATATCATTGAGACATCTCAAAACACTTCACAGAATATATTGTAAAGCGGACTGACTGTGTATTTTGTAGGCAAAATAGTCAAGTTCTAAGCAGCATCAAAGCTGCTGTGAGGCAATTCTTACTCGAGGAGGATCATCCATCCTCCTGGGAATAACAAACCAGTGCGTTTAGTGTTTTATCTAATTTTCCATCAGATTATAGCAGGAGGACAATCAATCAAACAGTATTGTCTGTCTCTGCAAAGCGCCAAAGGAGCATCCCAGCTTGTTACAAGCCTATCCCAATATAGTTCTGGATAAGAAACAACATGCTTCAATCTGATTAAAGGATAAAAACGTGAATTTGATGAAGGCCGCATGCTTATAGAATGAGACAGTTATTTCCCTTATTGTTCTCCTAACTTGGACCCTTGTCAAAAAGAGCCCATTGCAATCTTGCGGTACTCAGCTCAACTGAAAAGGACACCTGACAAGTCAATGTTTCTAGTTAAGGGATGGTGCGTGTGATAAAGAGAGAGGGACTCACAAACACTTCAACAGGTTACTAAACAGAGAGTGTGGCGCCATGATCTGTTGCACAAAACACGCACCAACAGCATTTATAAAACATTGTCGATGTATATGTGTTGTTTTGATCAGGAAGAATAGATGCTTGATTAGTAAGGCAGCACTGGGGGTTACTCCAATTGACCTCAATGTTCCTGGGCTAGGGGTGGGGGCAATAGTTAGTCAGATACCTATTCTACATTGATATTCATTGTGCTATTTCTTCCCCCCCCCCGCCCACGACCCCCAACAGAAAATGCGTGTTTTAGGGAGGCAAGTATGGTCAGAGATCTTGCCTGTGTTCCTTTTTTTATAGTTTCACAGACAACCCTTTCACTCGGTCGAGGATCACATGCAAGCGAGAGACCTGGGTTCGATTTCCGGCAGGTCGGGGCGAAACCTTGGGCAAGTTACCTTACTCCACACGCCTGACAATAATCCCTCAAAAAAAACGATAAGAAATTGGTCGTTTCGATCCACGACTGTTTGTGGGACGCCGTTGTGCGCAATTGGCTGCCGTGTTTCGCCCACAAATATGCCGTCAATTAACTTGACAGTCTATTTCTGTCAAGCGCTTTTGAGACGTCGAGAAGACGTGAAAAGCGCTATATCAAATGCAAGGATTATTATTTCATTATTTTTATTCTGCATTATGTTTTTGCTTAACATTTCATGTTTTGTGATTTAGTTGTGATTGTATATTAGCTGTGGATAAACAGTGGAACCGTCTGGAAATCGCCAGCTGCTCAATCAGCCCATGAGTGAGATAGGCAGGTAAACAGCCCGGGTGTGAGGCGATAGCCTGACTCTGCTTCCCGGTCTGACTCGCTCACTGACGAGGGTTCCAGAATGTTCCGTTCCTGTCTGTATATATTTAAACTGATTTGTACAAGATTTACATGTTTTCCTGAGTTAAGGAAAAATATGTCATTCAACTTACAAGGTACTTACAGATGTGTACAATGAGGATCTTACAGATTTATTCATTACTTTTTGTCTTATGTGCTTTCTATTTTATTTTCTTTGTCCCCCCCTCTCTCTCTCTCTCTCTGTTTATTTCCCTTTCTCTTTCTCACTGTTTCTCTCATTCTCTCTCCCTGTCTTTTTGGAAGGTGCAGTATTCACAAATATGCGCAATATATATTACTGATTGGATGTTTACCTTTGACGTTTTATAGCATTCAGGAATGCTATGGTTTTTGATCTGGCCTTTGAGGAGTTTGAGATGTCTCTGCACAGGGTAGTTTCAGGCTCCCTATGGTTAGAACAGTGAGAGCCGTGTGCACAAATGACCAGCTTGATGTGGGTTAATGCTTCTGTCTCGAGCAATCTGTTTATCACACAATTTATCTTCTGTGTGGTTACAACAGAGCACAGCAAATTAATTGCAATGTGATAAGAAACATTCTATGTTTCAGCTATTCTGCTTTCTCTGGGGCTTTGAGCTCACAGACTTGGTTGATGCTCCAGTGCAGTGCTGAGGAAGGAGCACAGCATTTCCTTTGGATGAGAAGTTATACTGAAATCCCGTCTGCCTATTCAGGAGGACGTAAAAAACATCACATGGCACAGTTTAAGAAGACCCAAGGAGTGTCTCCCAGTTTCCCACCCAACAATCCCCTTGATAAATTAATGATCCACTTTATAGCTGTTTTGGAACATTGTTGTGCACAAATTGGCTGTCACATTTTCTTACAAATACAATATACACACATTACAGAAAAAGTCAAAGAGCTTAAATTCAAATTTAACAAGTTTTGACAAGATAAGGTACTGTTATTTTGTATTTTTTTCTGCAAAATTGTCTTAAAAATGGGGTTTGTTTCTCTGTCTTGCAACAGGTCAGGTGGTATTTTTAAGGCAAGTTTATTGTTTATTTGTTTATTTATTGTTTAGTTTTACCACATGCTTTTCGAAGACTTGTGATCAGAATGGCATGGTGTGGACTGGTTAACATATATAAATATCAGCGCTGCATGGTGCTTGTACAGCTAATTACTTATTTACTTTAAGAACACATCAGCATTGATAAATCTTATTAGTGAGCTGGACAAGATGGTCATCTTACAGTCAATACAGAAAGTCCATAAACTCAGGTTGTGTTACAACAGTCAGGTTAAAAAATGGCCACTGGTCATTTTTTGGGATCATTACTGTCACAATGTGCAGAAAGCCATCAATGGACATGTCAGATATACCATGGATTCCCAGTACGACCATGCTATAAATAGGCCCAAGCGATACTGGAGTGTGTTATAACAGGGACAGGCTATATATAACAATGTCTATCCATTGCGGTGGATTTCAACAAGTTGAGCTAGACAGTAGCTTATCTGTCAAACATGCAGAAGAAAGCTCTTTATTTAGTGCATTTACATCATTGCAGTAGATGCTAAGCGACACAGATTCAAGCTTTTCTCATTCTTTCTTACCCCCTTCAAAATACATGATACCATTAGGTTGAGATTGGGACCTTTTTTAAAAGGGGACACAAATGGAGGAAGCAGTCTTCTCTTTCTCTCTCTCTTCAAACTGGAGAGTCTACACACTATTACATTACACCTTCGTCTTTTGTCCACGGAGCATATAATAAAGATAATTTTATTTTTAATTGGATAGTTTTGCACAATGCACACTTAAGCAGCAGAATAATTGCCTCCGTACTCATCTTTAGTTATGCTAATCAGCTGCTTGTTCATCCAAAGCCAGTCCCTGAAGCTCCTCAGAAATGAACAGGAAAAGGCTGGCAATTCACAGCAGGTGAATCGAGGTCTGAACGAGAAAGGTTAGTGGTTCTTGTAAGATTCTTCTTCAGAAAACAACAACAACAAAATTACATTTATAGAGGGTCTTTCAAAACAAACAGTTGGACTGCAGAAACTGCTGACCATCACAGGGGAAGTCAGTAGGACCAGAAGAAAAAAATAAAGATAGCAGCAAAAAGTTAGAAATATAAAGTCTTTAACAACTCTATTTTCCTGTATCAAATCTCTTCTTGCCTTACCTCCTGTCCTTAAAGTTGTTTGACTTCTTTTCCCTTCTTTTGAGATACAGGTACTTGCTCTGGTGGTCTTCTTAGGTGTGAACGTTATAATAAAATAATAATAATAATCCTTACATTTGAAATAGCGCTTTTCATGTCTTCTCGACGTCTCAAAGCGCTTCACAGAATAGCCTGTAAAGTGAATTGACTGTATATTTGTGGGCGAAAAGCGGCAGCCAATTGCGCACAGCAGTGTCCCACAAACAATTGTGGATTGAAAATGAGCAATTTATTATTGCTTTGTTTTGGAGGGACTATTATTAGGTGTGTGGAGTAAGGAAACTTGCCTAAGGTTTTGCTCTGCCTGGAATTGAACCCAGATGTCTCGCTTGCAAAGCGAGTGCTCTAACCACTGAGCTACAGGACTCCCGATGTTACCATGTTGACAGCATACTTGACCGTAGAGTGTATCACCCCCTGTCCTCACAAACATGCTTTCCAGGAGGGACAGGGAGCAAGGTCGCTAGCTGATCTTTCTCTCCCTAATCCATGACCATTGAGATTAATTGTTGCCGATGACATCGCCAATAATTAAGTTACTGTAGTCCTACTTGACTTAGTTCAGCCCAAAGAGATCCTGCTATTCCCTCCCCTCTGCAAGATAATTTTTCAATGTACCTCCTTTAAACTCATGGATTTCTGACTTGCAAGTATGTAAATCAATGGCAATGACCCCTTGTATTTTTTAAAAAATGCCATAAAAATCTCACACACAATTACACAACGATGATCATACAGTATATTAATATTGCATTATAATTATTTGTAAGTCCCCAGAGAGAAATTTACAGAAATAAGAGACATGGTAGTCATTTTATCAGCTTTGAAACAGCGAAGGACTGAATGGACCCGCCTCATTCCAAAGCCAGTGCCTCTAACTGAGCTGACCAGGATTATAACTGGTACCAATGTGCACAGTGAAGGCAGTCGTCAACTTTGTGTTTCAGATAAACCCAATCCTTTTCTCACCACCCACACCCACACTGATGCACTGCACTCCCATATTGTGATGGAGCCTCAGTGCTGACTCACTGCCCAAAATAACAGGTCATTTCACTCTGCAATCCAGGTGGTAAATGTGTTTGTGTGGGCTAAGTACAACAACAAACAACAAATTACATTTGTATAGCGCCTTTCACGTGTGGACATCCCAAAACACCGGACTAGTACAGTACTATTCTGAACTGTTCAAAACCCTTTGCGAATTTCTTTCTGTATGTTTTTGACTTGGGAGAATGCAATTTAACTGTTTCATTTATTTGTACATTCAGTGCAATCCTGTTCGTACGTGATATTGCACGACAGTTATTTCTGAGCACCACAAGGGACAATATCCACAAAACTAAGGGTGTCTGGCCCACATCAATAAATTTGCTCTGTAGAATACATGGTGCGGAATAATCTCCATAGTGGTGGGGATTTAGGCACTTAAATTGCATTATGGCAAGTCATGCCATATGTCTCGAATTTCTGTCTCCCAGCAAGCATGGAAGAACCGTGCTGGGAAGTACGGACCTAGGAAGAGTATAGGCTCAGGCTTGACCACCGAACTGGTTGGATGCCGGAACACAAGGAACTGTAGCCCAGTTTGAGTCTCGGGTATTTCCAGCGTGTAAGCATTTGAGCAAGTGGCAATGTCCCTTTTCAGACAACAAACTCTCCAAAGAAGCAAACGGATGATGCAGCATTTTGTTTTCCACACGCGATAAAGATCAATCCAGACCACAAATAGAACTCAGTGTGGCCCATATGGACTATCTCATAACACGTCAGAGGGTGCGGAGGTCTCTCAGATTGTAGCATTTGTGGATGTGATGCTGCAACAGTGTGGAAAGTGTTTTGAGTCTGTTGAGATTCCAATAAACAGTTTTTGAGGTGTCGAATGGTGCAGTGGGAGCCAGATGGTTACCAGCAGGAATATTTCTCTGGAAGGAACACAGAGTTTGAATGGAGGAATTAATGCATACAGTCAAATGAGAATGTGTCTGCAAGTTATCGAGACTAAACTTTAAATGTCCAGATACACCATGCATAGATAGGACTGGACATGAATTCTCTATCATCCAATTCTCACAGCCTGTGGGATAGATCCTGTACACTTTTGCCATTGGTTTTACTTGAGAAGGTCAGTTATGAATTTATAAGTTATAAGCGCTCTGGGACGCTACCCTGCTGAGGGGAGTTATATAAATGCAAGTTGTTATGTTTTTAGACCAACTAACTCTTTATAAATAATAACAATAATCCTTACAATTGATACAGGTCCTTTCATGTTGAGAGAGCGAACACGGCAGCCAATTTGTGCATAGCAATGTCCCACAAACAGCCATAAAATAAATGGCCCATTTTATTTGGGAGATTGTTGGTCAGGACACTGGGAGAAACTCTTCTCTTTTCAAGTAGTGCCGTGATTTTTAATGTTCATCTGAACAAGCATTACCCCCATATTGATTTAATGTCTCATCCAAAGGACTTTATGATGTACCCTCTACTTCCCCGAAAAGCTATTATAGTATGTTATGGTGGTAATGTTATATAGATAAAATGGGTTTAGGTCTCTGGGTCTCTTTTCATAACTTAATATTGTGTAGCTCCATCAGTGGTTACATTTCAGTAAAGCCGCTGTTCAATGTGAAATAGTCTGTCAGACATGGAAGGTCCAAAGTTTGATGGACTGCACTAAGCTAGATGACCTATTATAATAATCCTATAATAATAATAATCCTTGCATTTGATATAGCGCTTTTCACGTCGGGAGGACGTCCCAAAGCGCTTCACAGAACCACTGTAAAGTGAATTGACTGTATATTTGTGGGCGAACGCGGCAGCCAATTGCGCACAGCAATGTCCCACAAACAGTCGTAGATTGAAAATGACCAATTTATTATTGTTTTTTGTTTTGGAGGGATTATTATTAGGCTCTGTGTGGAGTAAGGAAACTTGCCCAAGGTTTCGCCCTCTGCCTTGAATTGAACTCAGGTCTCTGGCTTGCAAAGAGAGTGCTCTAACCACTGAGCTACAGGACTCCACGAAGGACAAGTTGTTGTTTGAAGCACTTTGATATGTTCTACTATGTGACAGGCACTATTTGAGAGTTGTTTTTGATTACAGTTTGCCTCAGCAAGAGAGATCAGTGTGTGTGAATGGCTGGATTGGGCTCGGCTGCGACAATCACAACTATCGCATACCCATATCCCATCTATAAATCTGTGCATTAATAATACTAATAATCATCCTTGCATTTGATAAAACATCAGTAGCATCTCAAAGTGCGTCACATATTACTGATAAAGTGTAAATTGTAGGTGAACTTGGCAGCAAATTTGTGCACAAACAGCCATAAAGTGGATCACTAATTTACCGGAGAGATTGTTGGTAAGAACGCTGGAAGAAACTTCCTTATCTTTCTGAATAATGTCATGAGATCGTTCATGTTCCTCTAAAGAAGCAGATGGGATCTTGGTTTAATGTCTCACCTGACGGACGATACCTCTGAAAATGCAGCACTCTCCCGGTACTCAAAGTCTGACATGCGTCTTGAACCCACAATCTTCTGATCCCGAGGCAAGAGTGCTGACATATTGAAGCTGACGCAATGGCCCTTGGATGAGGTACTGGAAGATTGTCTGACACCAGTGGAAATACCCCAACATGAGTTTGTTCCTTCAAGAAAGGAAAGAGCGATTTGTGGACTTTGGTACACACAGAGGGTAGCTCAGAGCCATTGAGTCACATCCTCCTAAATGACTTAGTTAATCCTGATTGTATATTAGGAGCAAGACGTCCGTCTACTATTGTGCACACAACCTGTGGAGTAAGCCAAGCATTAAAAAGCTATTCAGAAACGAATTAACTGGAATCTCGTGATTACTGATGTCATTATAAAAAGAAGCCATCAGCTTACAATTCTTTAAATTATGAAGTGACTAATCTGCAGGGTTGTTGGATGTGTTTTAAGATATTTTTTAGTCTCAGTCTGGGGGACAGTGATTAGCGAGCATTTATTGTACAAATGAAGGAATTTAAATGCATTAAGAGATGATTTGAAAGAGCCCCAGGAATCGGTGGCAAAAAAAAATGCAATGAATTTTACTTCAAATAATAATTCTCTGAAGGTACTCCTGAATGATGTTTTGCTTCTCTTATCTTTACAGCTACATAGTCACATCCACCTGACCTTGAGGTTTGGATGAGTCAGTCAGTGACTAAACCCATAGCCTCAACTCCAGCATGCTCTGAATCAACCCTTTCAACACTGGTTAGTTAATACAGGTGAAAACAGTGGCCTCAAGGCCACCACACATCTTTATTTAGATTGTTAGCAAAAGCCTCACAGAGAACTATTCAATCTCAGATAGATAAAGGAAGTATAGTGGGTGCAAAAGTCTTATCTTTCAGCTTAAAAAAAATTGTTTCTTTTAAGACTCATGAGGCATTGTAATGGTATCATGACTTTTTGTTCACCCTGTATAATCCTTTCATATATGCCCAGAACAACAAGAGAAGGGCCCGCGTTCAGGGCAAGTATAGGAAAGACACCAGAATGTTGATCTTTATATAAAGGATAATCAACAGGAACAGTTTACACAGAAATATGGTTGAACGTATTTAAGGAATGTCTTCTTGCTGTTGTGGGAAGTCAGTCGGGTGGGTATTCTGGAAGGATGAGATCAAACATAATCAAAGAGGATTCTTGATCCACACCTATCTTGTCCTGATTACAGTACCAAATTCAAAAACTATGCCATTATTCTGTCTCTAGTGAATAGTTGGTTGGACCAGTTGGTTGGTTGCAGCTCAGTGGTTAAATATCTGGGTTCGATTCCCAACAGGGCAAAATGTTGGGCAGGTTTCCTTACTTCACACTCCTCTGGTTACCTAGCAGTAAGTAGGAACCCGGTTGTTAGACGATTGATGGATCACTATTTGGGGGTAATAATTCCTTCCAAAAATAATGTTAAAAAAAAGGAGTGCTCAGAACTCCAGAGGTTGGTTTTCGAAGACATTTATAAATGCTGGGAGTTCATTCTCAGGATTTTGTATTATATATCTTATATTTTATTAAAGGGAGGACTCGAACTGAAATGCAGTTGAGAAAAATACATAATAACCTCAGGGTGAACATGATGTTCCATGCTTATAATGAAATTTCCTATAATAAGCACAGGGTGAAATGTGTGCCAGTATAAGGAAACTTCTCAGAAGGGACCATATAGATGTCTATAACATTTTAAATGGCATTTAAAAAGTAACCCCAGAACAATATTTAGGGAGCACCATGACAGGTAAAACAAGAGGATGTAGGTTTAGAGTTGCAAAAGGCGATTTCAAAGAGACAAGGATGTATTTCTTCACCCAAAGGGAAATTAACAACTAGAACAGATTGTCAGGAAGGGTGGTTGAGGCCAGGACGCTGGACTCGTTCTTATTTTTTAAAAAAAGCTCAGTGCTCAAAGATGTTTAACATGGATAGTCCATTATTTTCACAACGGAAGTATCATGACAAATATACAAGCTTACGTATAACATAAGGGAAGTCTAACATAATCTCTCGGTTAATCACAACATGATTGGTTTGGAGAAAGTAGACCCACCCCTCCAGAATAACCACCCTTTTTGTGTCACCCCCACGTCAGGGCTCATAGTCCATCTGATGTTCCAGTGCATTGCAAAGGGGAGCGCTGCAGGATGTGCTATCCTTTGGATGAGACATTCAGAATTTGTCATTTACTTCATGACTGTTTGTGGCGTAATGCTGTGTGCAAATTAGCTGTTGTGTTTAACTACTTTACAGTGAATCCTGTGAAGTGCTTTCAGATGTTTTGATGGTGAGATAAGGAGCTATATCAAATGCTAGGATAATTGTTATTATCTAACAGTTGGAGAGATGGGAGAGAGGAAGGTATGATGATGTGATTGGCAGCTCAAAGAACCAGGCTATTTAGCATTGCAACTTCAAGTCTTTTGACTGGATAATTCTGTTGAGTGGGCGAGCCAGGTGGATGACAGAATGATCCAAATTTGCTTCAGAAGGTCCTCATCCAGTCGTTCCTTGTGTGAACTCTTCACCTTCATATCACCTTCATTCAGGACTGCACCAGGTCCATAGAGTTCACCTGTGAACTCTATGGACCTGGTGCAGTCCTGAATCTGTGACTTTCTGCCTTGTACATGTGTTCCGCGTCTGTCTGGATTTCCACAGCCCCTAATGCTATCTCAATTGCATATTATCGTGCTGTTTCAAAAAAAATTATAACAGTATAGAAAACAACTTTTTGTGAAGGCTTTGTTCATAAGTAACAGTACAAATACAGTGCCTTGCAAAATACTATGAGATTTTAGGAGTATTCCCTGTGGATTTTGCTGAGAATTGTATGCTGTTTTCTATTAACCCCGATGTTCCGCTCTTCCACCAGAAATTATTGTTTTTTTATCCTGTGCAGAATACTTAATTTAGACCGCAGTGGGTTTGTGCTTGAGCTTTCAGCTTGATTCCCTCTGGAGTACAAATCCCATGTAAATAGGGTGGTTCCACTCACCCTAGTGTAACATCTCTTCTGGGGGCAGGTGCAAGTGTTTCCAGCTCAGTTAACCTTGTCAGACAGCAAACTGCTTGAACTTTGCTCTGCTGCTCAGTTATCTGTGCCCTACAGTACACAGCTAGGGGTGTGCAGTGCACTCACAAGAACAAAGTACAAGCACGTTAGGCACACATGATCGCAGACTTGCTCACAGCATAACCTCTTTACTCTTAAGCTGTGAATTTTGTAATGTGCTGAAAATGCAGAGATAGCGTTCACGGGGCAATCAGTCTCCATTTGGCATATTGTAAAGGTTCCATTCCTGCTCCTCTCTGCTCAGCTCTGCTCACTCAGCTAACCTCAGTCAGGGTGGTGGTATGGGTGCTACTATTTAACCCACAGGCCCGAATTCAGAAGGGAAAAAAACACAGTCAAGATTGGGGATTTTTGTGTATCGGCTGGGTGGCTCACACATCTGGAAACTTATCATCATGCTTAAGAGTCTTCAAACCAGACTGAGTTCCACATATGTATTTAGGCTCAGGCACTGGGCTACCAAGACCACGAAAGAGGGTTAAGTTGATTCCAACATTACGTTACCAGATACATCACCTTGGAGCCAGCTCAGCTCTAAGGAGACCCCACTCACCTCCACCACAGAAGGAGAGAGGGCACCTACCCCTGATCATTCAGTGACCCCTCCTCGAAAGTGAGTGCGTGAGTGTGTGTGTATATATGTCAGGTGATGCCCACACTTTGGATCTTCCAGCACATGTATGGGTGCTCTGGCTGATATTCTTCTCCACAAACAAGGGGTGTCAAGACCAGTTGCAGCCCTGACTAACTCAATGCAGATCAGTATTTGAACCTGCAACATTCTGGTCTGCACTGGTTTATCTACCTGGCTCATTCTTTACCCACTAGCCCATCGGAGGAGATTGTGGAGATTTGTGGAGTGCTGTAGTTCAGTGGTTAGCGCACTCGCTTTGCAAGCGAGAGACCTGCGTTCAATTCCAGGCAGAGGGCGAAACTTTGGGCAAATTTTCTTACTCCACACGCCTAATAATAACCCCTCCAAAAACCAAAACCAATAATAAATTGGTCATTTTCAATCTACGACTGTTTGTGGGACATTGCTGTGCGCAATTGGCTGCCGTGTTCGCCCACAAATATACAGTCAATTCACTTTACAGTGTGTTCTGTGAAGTGCTTTGGGACGTCCTCCTGACGTGAAAAGCGCTATATCAAATGCAAGGATTGTTATTATAATTATTATTATTTACTTCAATTTTTAACCTTTTTTAATTTTTGACGGGTCAGAATACTCACCTCTAATAAATTGACTTTATGTGCAAGATCCGAAAATCCCATCGTGCTCTTTAACCTAACCCCATAAAATCTTGTAACCATAGCACACTGTTCCCCCAGCGACTTGTAGATAATAGCTTATTTTAATATGCAAATAGCCTTCATTCACTTATTCTTAAATATTTGTTCCAATTTATTATTTGGATTTCAGCCACAGTTGTTGAAATTGTTTTCTTTCGAACATGTTCTATATAACAAAAGGTTAGTTAAACAATTATTTCTCTCTCTCTCTGCTGTTTGATTTGCACCCATTGCATTAATTCTTGGAGGCTTACCGTCTGCGCCAAGCAGTTTCTGTGCTCTTTTCATCTTGACACGTTTAGCATTTCTGAAGAAACTATTTGAAGAGAAAATTGAATATTGGTGCAGGCATGATAAGAGGGACCGTCATGTATTATAAGTAATCTGCAAGCAATTTTTACATAGTTTTTACATGCATTATGGTTGTAATCTTTCTTTAAAATGAAAAGGATATGAATTTTGGCTCTTGTTATTGGAAGCTCTCGTTCTTTTAATTGTCATCTGGGTTGTAGCATGGTTGTGTAGCTCAGTTGCAACAGCAGCAAACAATGTCTTTAATGTTACATTTGACACTGGGTAGTGAGGAGCAAAATAACCTGCTCTTAATGTCACATGCCAGTGGATATTAGTGCATTGGACTGCTATGACCGAAATATTTGTTGGCGAGCCTTGTTTCATGTTTGGACCAAAAGCAAGTAGGGTAGGGCTGTGTTACTGAAAGCTGCCTGGAGTTTTTCTCTCTCCCCCACCACCCTGTGCAAACCAAATGTTTCACGTTTGTTTCCCCCATCACTTTTCTTCCATCGTCACTCCATCCAGGGATTCCTGTAGCTCAGTGGGTAGAGCACTCGCCTCGCAAGTGAGAGACCTGGGTTCGATTCCCAGGCAGGGCGAAACGTTGGGCAAGGTTCCTTACTCCACACGCCTCTGTTTACCTAGCAGTAAGTAGGAACCCGATTATTAGTCGATTAGCGGATCGCTTTTCCGGGGATAATAATTCCTTCAAAAATAAATAAATAATAAATTGGGCACTCAATCCACGACTGTTTGTGGCACGCTGTTGTATGCAACTGGCTGCCGCATTTCGCCCACAACCTCTACAGTCTATTCACTTTCCAGTATATTCTGTGAAGTGTTTTGCGATATCTCGAAGGCTCTGTATCAAAATGCAAGGATTATTATTCTTTTTCTTGCTCTCCAGATGATTTATGTTTGGGAACACATTTGCACACACTGGTACCTCAACTCTGAGGCCATTTTTCACATAAAAGTCTGGCCAGCGTCAGAGCCACGCACAGCCCTTTCCAACCAGGATCAATGGATAAGAAGCATTTTTTCCCTTTCCTCACTTAGGGACTTTGAGACCAATTATAACATCCTCTTCACCGCATTGGCTGAGAACAGTGAACTCAGCACAAACCTGCCGGCTTATGTGTTCCTCGCACTATTAACGATAAAATTCAGGTATTCTGTTTCTAATTTCAGTTAGAAATTTAAATTTTTAAAATTCAATGTCGTTTTTGGGTAGTTCCATATAATAATAATAATAATCCTTGCATTTGATATAGCGCTTTTCACTTCTTCACAAAAGTGAATTGACTGTATATTTGTGGGTGAAATGCGTGGGTGAAATTTGTGGGTGAAATGCGTCAGCCAAGATATGGGCAATCTTGCAAGATCACTCCACTTTGCAGAGGGCCGTTGAGATTTTTTTCTCCATCAAGTAAACAATGGGTGTGGGCAACTTCTTCTATTGCAGTAAAACCACGCAGGGGCTTCAAGTTGCATTTTCCTGTAAGTGTGTGTCTGGTTTCAGTTTCAGCCAAACTTTCCAGGCATCAGAATTGAGGGAGGTTACTTGTATGATATGAACCCTGCCCCCCCCCCCCCCCCCCAAACCAATTATTAAACTATTTTTCTGTTTTTTTATTCATCCCAGTGATGCTTTGCCATCATTTTACATTTGTTTTCAAATATGTGCAATTTGCTCAATCGACCGCACTCTCTGATTCTGATTCTATGCCCACATCAGATTTTGAACTGACAGTCTAGGTTGACACTGCAATGCAGTGCTGGTGAAGCGGTGCATTGTCAGAGACGCAGTCCTACAGTTGAGATGTAAAACCGGGTCTCATGTACCTGTTCACGTGGGCATTAATGATCCCACGTCATTTATTTGAAAAGAGAATGACTTTCATCCCAAGTGGTTTGGATTAAATACTATATTCTTCAGCAAATCTTACAGACTAGGGATGTTCCCATATTCCTACCCCGGCCTGTGCCGTGTTTGGTGATCTCAACTAGTATATTAAACAGCCTGGCTCAGATGTTAGCACTCTCGCCTCTGAGTCAGAAAGTTGTAGGTTTTTGCCCCATGTCGGGATTTGAACTCGCAGTGTCTAAGATGACAATCCAATGCCATGCTGGGGGTGCGTTGCGTTGCATTGCTTGCCTACAGCCGCTCTTCTTTACATTCCTGTGAAGAGCTTTGAGACATCCTTCTGACTTGAAAGGAGCTCGACCAAATGCAAGTCAATTGGGTGATAATAATATTATTATTATAATCGAGGTTCTGCACTATTCAGCCTCTGAAATCCCCAGTTAAGAATTGTGTGCGGAGATTGTGGAAGGGACAGATCATTTTTGCCATTTCTTCTCCCCCCCCATTCCCCACGACCTCTCCTTTCTTACATAATTGACAGTGATAAGGATTGGGACCTGCAACAGGAGATTCCCCACCCAATCATACACGGACTTGAATAATTACTTAACCTCGAGGACTGAAAGTGGAAGCTTGGGCTGTGCAGTGGCTGTCAGCTCGTAGCACTACAGCAATGATCCTGTTCTTTACTGAGATTAGTTGCGAAAGGTAGCACGTCTCCGAAATATTTTGAAACTGATTAAGATTTAGATTTTTGTCAGAAAATTGCTTTTCTGTTGAGGAAAATCACAGCCTCAGGGGCACTCTCACCTTAAATGAGGGAGGGGAAACACAGATTCCGGTCCCATCCCCCATTCTCTGATTTGCCTCCCACCACTTCCAGACCTGCGGATATTTGCCTTTGTACAATTCAATCAGTCCACCCAATTGACCGATCTTCATATATCAGCCTGGATCGGTGGATAGCAGTCTCACCCGTGGGTCAGAAATGTTTGGTTTCAAGCCCCTGTCAGGATTTTGAGCTCACAGTCTAGGCTCCAGTACAGTTAAAATTAAATGTTTTTTAAAAAAATGTTCATTCAACAATTGGCTGTTTGAAGGATATTGCTGTGTGCAAATTGACTGTTGCGTTTGGCTATAAAAAATACACAGTCAGTAGACTTTACAGTAAATCCTGTGAAGCACCTTCAGATGTTTTGGAATGATCAGATGTTGTATCAAACACAAGATTGATTATTTACTGTTGGTTATTATTATTGCTAATATTTTTNAAATAGCCCAAATGGTAAGTATCTATATGCTTTAACTGTAGATAACATCACAGGAGAGCCCAGTCTTGCTTCATGTCTCTAGGGGCAGGACAGTGGGAGGGAGGGGATCTCAGCCAGGGGTATTAATGATTGTTACCAGTGACCACTACTGGAAATTATTTGGGTTTCGAATAAGGATAGGATTCAGCATGACCACGATGCTTTTTCCTGCCATGATCAAACAGCTCACTAACAATCAATGTTACTCATTCCTAACAGGAATATCTCATTATAAACTGAACAAAGATATGGCTTATGTTAGGAATCAGCATGCTATGGAGCTTACTGGTAATGAAGCACAAGATCACAAGAGAAGTTCAGATGAAGACGGCACTTTGACCCATTTGATCTCAACCTTCCAGAATACCACCCTACCATCTACCCAACGCAGCATTAAGCTGTGTTTTTTCAAGCGAGTCCAGCATACTGACCTCAGCCACTCTTCCTGATAAACCTCTGCCAGTTGTTAATTATTCTCTAGGTAAATAAATGCTTCCCGGTGTCTGTCCTGAAATTTCCCTTTGCAACTTTAAATCTGCGACCTCTTATTATGCAGTCTTGGTGAATCTGGGATTTACTTTTTAAATCCCATTTAAAATGTTATATACCTCTACAAGGCCCCCAATAGCTCTAGTTTGTCTAATTCTTGCTTGTGGCTCATTCCTATAACACTGGGGATTAACCTTGTTGGTCTCCTCTGCACTGGCTCCAGGGCCTGGGCAACAACTACAACAACAACTTGCACCACCTAGAGCTACTGCATATACCATCTGGGTGATGTACTGAAGAGGTGCTGGAGCCTATACGATCATGTATCTAGTTTGAGTCAATCTCTCAGTAAAGGAACAAAAACTATTCACACAATGTTCTCGAGAAGCCACTGGCAGAATGACCTCAGTATTCACATTGCCTTGTATTACCTGTACAGTGGTTTATCTAGAGAAAGGCAGAAAAGATGGAAGGAAAGATTACTTAATGCAAAGGTTTTCAGGTGGTTACCCATCCTAAGAGCACATTGTTATGATTTCCAGGTAATAGTAAAGATCGAATGTCCTTTTGCACTGCCAGCTTGTGCAACAACAGATATAGCGTGAAATTGACAGCGTAAATCGTGCTGAAATGTGTACTTTGATCTCATCTCGACAAGAAAACAGGCTTCTCTAGAGGCAGGTTTCATGCTGGAATGAAATTAGAGGCAGTGCCGGGTAACGCACACTCAGCCACCAGCAGCTACTTTATCCCAGCACTCCCTGTGTTTCACTGTTTGAGATAAGTGCAGCTGTCTCCACAGGACGTTGAACTGTGCAAATTCTCATTGATAGAAACTTCTCCATTGTGCAATGCATCAAGTATTTAAAATACAGCAATGGATTTTTTTTTGCAACCAGAGAACGAAAGGCTGTTGTATCAACATGGATTTCTTTTTTCTTCGTGACTCCCACCCACCTCTTTGACTTCTGATTCCATAGGCACTCTCCAGTGGATGTTAGCAGGTAATTTGAGCAAGGCGCACATCACATTCAAGCTGATCAAAAAGTTTACCCAATCTGGTTGAAATGGAGTTGACTGCTGCCGGTTTGGTGACATCATTGTCTCACCCCCACTGGGAGAACAGAGCCTGATCCTGACCCCCTGCTCGGATCCAAATCCCTGACCGTCCAGTGCTTTGGGACTTCTTCCCGACATGAAAGGCGCTATACAAATGTCATTTGTTGTTGTTAATCAGTCTGGGCAAAAGCCCAATTTTCGCGTTTCTTTATAATGAGACATTGCTAAAGATGGAATTAACAACAACAATTAAATGAAACAGTTCAAGTTATAACATTC